CCACAGACAGGTGAGACCTCACACAGACAGGTGAGACCTCAGATCACGGACAAGTGAGACCTCAGATCACAGACAGGTGAGACCTCTCAGCTGCTCCAGATTGTGTCCCAGTCTTTGTCCCTGAATTTGTCCTTGTACTTGGTCCAGGCCCAGCGGCGTGACGATATGCTCCGAATGTACCATGCCCTGCGAGAGGGCCTGCACATCATCGGTGACATCAGCACCACAACTGTTACCACGGCAGCACCTCCACCTGTTGATGACTCGTGGCTGCAGGTGATGGGGATGCCGTCTGGACGCAGGTAATCTTCTAACAGGTCATCTGATGCTCGTGAACAGTTTGAGCAGCGCCTCTGAGACTCTGCCGGTCTCCACAGGTCTCCAATGTCCAGTCCAACTCCCCAACGTAGGGCCCCTCCGGGTCCTCCTCGACCGGGGGGCCGCGCTGCCCCGGGCCCTCCATCTCGTCCCGCTGTGTCACCTGATCCAGGACCCCCGCCCTCGGTCCCTTCACGCCCCAACAGAGCGCCCCCACCTGGAGTCCCGAGGTTAGTGCAGTGAGCGGTTCAGCCTGGCTCTGGTTCTGCAGGGTTGGGTCTTTGAGCCTCCGTCTCACAGTGTGCAGGTCTCAGACCGGTTGGACCGGCTCAGGTCCACCTGAAAGGGTTGTTAGAGTACGGAGAGCTGAACATGCCACATGATTCACATTTTAATGCAAGAAAATACCTGAAAACTTTTTGTTTTACTGCAACTTACTCAGTTTATAGTCTTTTTGTCCTCTGGATACAAAACCTAATGTTTTGAACAAATGAAAACCGTTAAACTTGATCAAATGATTTAAATGAATTACTTTGAGTTTAGTAGAACAGCTCAGATCTGCAGCTGCCTTTTCAGGAACTGTGAAGTGAATTAAAAATATATATATATTTATATACTTTATTAATCCCAGAGGGAAATTAAATATTCAAAACCAAACAAAAAAACTAATTTTTATAAGACGAAAACCCAAAATGGTATTTTAAAAATATTGTTGGCATGATTGAATGTGTGCTTTACAACACGATTAACTGCGTGCTCAGCATGATAAAACATTTTTACTTGAATCCTGTGAAAATAGAGAAAAATATGAAGTACCAGTATTTGCTGCCAAAATAATGTGATGCTACAAAATCACAGTTTTATATTATTTAACTGTACAAAACATCCAATGAAGGACAAAGAGACAAAATGAATCAAACCTTTTTGCAACATTAAAGTTGTTTCAGATGACTGTAAGTGATCAAGTCTTAAATCTGTGGTTTCCCACACTGCGGCCTCCTTGAATGCAGCGTGAATGTTTCCAGGGGTTCAGATCAGAGCGTCCCTTCAGCCTCAACACACAACACTGAAGCCCTGCTGACTGAAAAAGATTCTCCTAAGTTCATCACTTCCTGTTTATAAAATCAGTTGAAAGGGTTCACTCGCTTCAGGCTGTGTTGAAGCTGGAGACTGAACGCAGAGCTGATCTGAGAACAGGCTTGAACAGACCCATGTTCAAACAGGAAGTTACTTCTTCAAACAGGAAGTTACTTCTTGAAACAGGAAGTTGCTTCTTCAAACAGGAAGTTGCTTCTTCAAACAGGAAGTTACTTCTTCAAACAGGAAGTTACTTCTTCAAACATGAAGTTGCTTCTTCAAACAGGAAGTTACTTCTTCAAACAGGAAGTTACTTCTTCAAAACAGGAAGTTACTTCTTCAAACAGGAAGTTGCTTCTTCTTTGTTGGTGCTGTAGAACACCAAGCAGCGATCCACAAACAACCTCCACGGACACAGAAAAGAAAGAATAATCTTTCTTTATCCCTCATGTTACGTCATCCCTCCATCAACCCGTCATCTTCCCCTTAATGTCTCAGTTTCACCTGTCTGTCCACAATTGTCTCTAGAAGACACATTAATGAGACGGGATCATTGTTCGGCTGTCTCACCACCCAGGCATCCATAGAAAACATACCAGTCTCTCTCTCCATCATTCTGTCCATCTTTCTTCCTGTCTCTCTCTCTCTCTGCCTGCCTGTTTGACCCTCCATCCAGCACTTTCCCTACCTGTCTGTCTGCAGGACTCTGTCTTATGTCTTTTTACTTGACAGTCTTGTTGTCCACCTGTCTGTGCATCTGTCTGTCTTTTTCCTCTCTGTTTGTGTGATCGTGTTCTATCAGTACCTTATAAGGCAAAGGAGGAAGCTCAGAGGTATGTCAGTGATAGCCCCGCCCCCAAGCCCCTCCTCCTCATATTGACCATATATGGTTATTCTTTCAGAATCTCGATCAGTGACCAGTGAGGAGTTCACCAATGGTACGTCAGCTGTCCTTGTGATGTCACTGTCTCTCACCTCCTCTGTGTGTATTTATGTGCGTCATTATCCAATCAGATTCTTCATCCGTGACCCCGCCCACTTCCTCTGCATCATAGTTAGCCACATTCTAGAACGCTCCATCGACCTGTAACTGTCTGTCTGTTGTTTTGTTGTTGTTTGTTGTCAGCCGCAGAGCTCCAGCATCTCCATCCCGATCCACCAGACCAGCCTCAGACTCCGCCCCCTGACTCCGCCCTCACACATATGCACAACTGAAGCACACATTAAAGATGAACTTGATGCAGTAATGCTCACAAATGTTTCCAGTGGGGTTCCAGCTGCTTATCTGGCTCAAACTGTGGAACCAGAATGTCTCCTGGTTTCTGTAGAATGTTGATTTCTTATGGTGACACGTTTAGAGAACAAAAAGAAGCAAACAAAAATGTAAAAAATGTTTTTTGTTTGTTTTTTTGGGGTCAGTTCTGGTTCAGACTTTGTGGTTAATAATGATTAGGTCCTGGTACCAGCTGATTCTGACAGGCTCCTGAAGACTCCAAGTGATTCTAGTTCTGTGTGGTTCCTCGTAGTTCCAGGAGCAGCTTCTAGGAGGTCCTCAAGTGTTTCAGATGAATCAAACATCCTTTAAATGTTTTCAGACTGGTTCCAGAACAGTCATACAAAAATATAGTTTTTTTTTCTCCCTATAACTGTTTTCAGGTTACCATCGTTTCAATTCAGTTCAGTTCAGTCACAACAGAAGTCGTCTCAGGGCTGAACAGAAACATTCATATATAAAAAAATAAGTTGACACTGTTTGTCTGAGGAGAAGACTTCAACCTTAAGATTTGATTGGTCCAAGTAGTCCAAACAAGTTCTATCTGGTTCCTTTTCATTTCTGTATCTTTTGTACTTCTACATTTGATTCCTAAAGGTCTCAGTTGGATAGAACCAGCTGGTTTCAACAGGTTCCAGTCTTGGCGCAGAACATCCTGTCTCGTTTTAGCCCAGTTCAAGCTGGTCCTGTAGGACAGATCTGGTTCCTTGTAGATTCTGCTGGATCCACCTGGCATCTAGCCTTTTACAGCTCTGAAACAATACATACTGGATTTAATTAATCACTTTTTTAAAGTCATTGTCACTCAGAGGCGACCTTTGACCTCTTGGCTCTCATTCCCTTAAAGATGAGATGCAGGTTTCTCTGTGAGTCTTGACAGTACCCCCCTCTTCAAGGGTAACCCCTTTTCAAACTCTACATACTAGTTGTTGGTTTTCATTGAACAGTGACTGTTTACAATGTTTCAACTAGCTGATGAGTTTTATTATTTATTATAACATTAAAAAGGAGATGCTTAAAGGTTTGAAAAGGTCATGTTTTCTTTGAGGGTGCTGACTGTACCCCCCCTCCCAGGGGTAAACCCCCTTTAAGAAAAACACTTCTGATTTTAGAACCAGAACAAAGTTCTACCTGCTCCCACACAGTTCTGATGGGTCCATGTGGATCCAGCTGGTAAAGTTGGGCCTTTATGACCCAGCTTGTTTTGTTATGGTCCAAATTATTCCGACGGGTTACCGTTGGGTTCGTCTTGTGTCACCTTGTTCTAACTGGTTTTGATGGGTTCTAACTGGTTCTGACAGATGTCTGTTTCTACCGAACATATTTCTGTTGATTCACTCTCCTGTTTTCTCTTTCTTTGTGTTTTCTGTTATTTTTCCCCAGTCGTCCCAGTAAAGGTAGCCCCGCCCACGGAGAAAGCCCCCAGTCGTCTATTGAGGGCTAACGTGAAGCGAGTTTGTGTTTGTGTCTTTGTTGAACTGTGCTTCTGTGAATCTTATTAATAATAATTATTAGAAGATGTTGATGAATTGATGGCTGCGGTACTGAAGCTGTGTCAGCTGACGGAGGTGAGACAGGTGTGCTACCTGTCTGTCTCACCTCCATCAGAAACGTTTGGTTGACGTTGAGAAGAACTCTGGAGACGCTGTAGAAGTGAAGACGTCTGAATGGCTGGTCTGAGATCAGGACCCGGTGACGTCCTTCATCAGTTCCTGGTTGTTCTTGTTTTTTCAGTTTCTTCTTTTCGTCTGAAGCTGAGATGTTCTCAGGATTTCTTTACAGTGTAAAGTTTACGTATCGTTTTATTTATGATTATTTATTCACCGTGTGTTCTGACATGAAACTTTCTGGATCAGCTAATTCTTTAAACTACCCTCTGATCTGGTTCTGCTGGGTTCAACATGGTTGGATCCAGACCAGTTCTGCCCAGTCGAACACCTCCAGAACCACCTGGTTCTGACACTTTGTATGTTGTCAGGTGACTCTAGCTGGTTTCTGTTGGGCCTTACTGGATCCAGATGTTTGCTCTGCTGGACTCCAGCTGGTTCTGACCATCTGAAAGTCCAGTGGACCCTGTTAGAAGTGCGATCATTTCCTGATTGAGTTTCCCAGAAACTGAAGCTGCTTCCCTCGTGGAACGGATCCTTCCGAGTTCTGACCGTCGAACAGAACCGCTCTGACTTCTGGGTTTGGGTCCGAGTAGACTCAACCTTAAATGCAAACAACTAAAACTGAACAGCTTTAAGAAATAACTCGGCTTTTTAGGCGTCAAAACTTTTTAAAATACAGTTTGAATAAATTCTGTCGTTGATTTATTCAGCAGACGCTGATAAATCGTTTATTTAAAAAGCGCACAAAGATCACTGAAATAACTCGAAACACAAGTAATCAAAAGAAAATGTGACTAAAATGAATTAATAAAAGCAGCTGTTGACACTTGGCCCAGCAGAGTTATAAAAAGAAGAAGAAGATTTTCTTCAGTTTAATGTTTTAATAAATTAAAAATATTTTTGTCTGTTTCAGTTTATCTCAGTGACTTTTGTTTTCTTCTTCTTCATTTAACCAGAGCACAATCAAATTTGTCCACATGTATAATTTGAATTAGAGCAAAGGATTGTGGGAGTTTTGTCCCCTCTGAGGACGCAGAGAAGAATGAAATGCTGCAGCAGTGTCTGACGACGAGTCGCCTCTGAGGATCCTTCCTGAGGAGCACGTTTGGTTTGTTTACCTGAGGCAGGTGTGCCCCACCTGTAATCAACAGCCAATCAGAGAGGGGCAGCAGCAGGAAGTGGTTGTTTTACATCATCTGTAGAGGAAGTGTATGGAATGATTCTGTCTGTACTTCCTGGATGTTTGATGAACTCGTGGTGTTCCAGGAGTTGAACCGTAGTGATCATCAGCTCTGATCAATAATCTGATTTCTGGTGTCTCTGCTCCGCCTGCTCTTCGTGTCGTGGTGATGTCGTAGCGTTAGTGGAGCTCTGAGCTGCGTTCAGCTGTGGCGTGTTCGTGCCAGCATGCTCGGTCATGTGTTGCACATCCGTCTCCAGACATTCTGTGTTCAAGTCCACGGCAGATGAAGAATATATCCAAGTGATAAATGTGTGTATTCCTGTGAAACGTGCCCACACTGAGGTGTGTGTTTGTGTGTTCTTGTGTAAACTTGTGTTGTGTGACCGGCCAACGAACACATGAATAAAGTTGTTAATGTGAACGCAGTCGTCGAGTCGTCTTTACAAACTCATTAAAACCAGCGGCAGCGCAGTGGTGCAGCGGCTAGACACGTCGCCTCACAGCCTTTCAAGATGGAGCGTTCTCTCCGGGTACTCCGGTTTCATGCATGTTCACCTGCTTGGTAACTCCCTAGTGGGTCTCCGTGTCCCAAAGGTGCTAAAGTTAGCACAACCACAGCTAAAGGCTAACATTAAAAACATTAGCCGAACACATAGATCAGCAAAACAATAGCTAAAATGTAAAAACAGCAATTGAGTGATGAACAGCTAAAATGAGCAAAAAGCATCCACCAGCACAACAGTAGCAATAAGCTAAAGATGGCAAAAAGTAGCTAAAAGCTAAAAACGCTCAGCTAGTAAGTAAGGTTGCTAAAAAGTTTAAAGTTTCCAACAGCAAAACTGTTAAAAGCTAAAACTGACAAAAGAGTAGCTAAAAGTGGAGCACTGACTGCGTTTAGGCACCCTGGACAGGTCTCTGTGGACTGGAGACCTGTCCAGAGTGTCCCCCACTTCCTGCAGAGACTGATGGACATGGACAGGAAGAAGCCACGGTGAACTGAACGGCTGGTGAAGGCCGAGCCGTCCTTGCTGGCTGCTTGTCACCCGCTGAGTCTTGGTCGGGGTTCGTCTCGCGACGAGGACAGGTGTGTGGTTTCAGTCCAAGACTCTAAGACCAAGATGTCGCTCGCTGCTGCCGCCACAACAAATTTAGCTCCGTCTGTAAAACTGACCTGGCTTACTGCCTCTTCTGTGCTGGCTGGTGTTAACTGTGGTGGCCATCTTGAACTAATCTGTTGTCAAACTCCATCCAGCGATTCATGAGATATTTTGCTAACAGACAAATATGGTTGATGTTTAAGTGCATTAAAGATGAGCAACACTGAGGGAATCACTCTCAGCTACTACCACACCAGCTTTCTGTAAAGCGCAGCAGGCGATGACCCTCCTGCTGCCCACGACCCACGAGGCCTCATCTGTCGTCTTGGCCCCAGGGCAGCAGGAGGGGAAGTACAGGAACGTTCCTGTCAAACATTTGACCTCCTTCCTGCTCAGCTGTCCTCGTGCTGCTTGTCCACCGCCAGCAGGTGGCGCTGCAGGATGCTGATGAAGACATCTCAGCATCACGGTTGTCATAGTTACAGCAAGGCTGACTTTCACCCAGAAAGAGGAAGAAGAGAAGGAGGAAGGAAGAGACGCAACAATCAACAGAATCCGAGTGGTTCGACATGAGAGCAAAGGAATAAACTGTCCCTGTCCCACCTGAAGACATGTCCTCCCGCTCCGACACCAAGACAGGTGAGTCCTTTTCTTCAAGAACTTCTCACTTCCTGTCTGAGAGGAGGGTCTTTAGGAGTAAGAGTGTAAGTGTCCAACATGTCATCTGACCCTGAACGCAGCACAGTGCAGATATGACAGAATCAGAAATTACAACAGCTGAACACTTACATTCCACATGACAGCCGAAGAAAAGAGCAGTAAGTCAAATTAAAGTTTCTGACTTCATTTAAACCATTAACTTTACACTTCCTCCTCACCTCAGGCCTTCAGCCCAACAGTAAACCACAGAAATAACCTTTGCTCTGAACAGAGCGCTGAATGACAGCTGAAATGGGCAGAGGGAGCCAAAACTGTGTTCTTTAAGCTAAAAGTAGAAAAACATTAGCTAAAATTAGCATTACACTTGCTAAAAGCCTATAGGAAGAACAACATTAGGTAAATGTAGCAAAACACTAGCTAAAAGGAGCAAACATCAGCTTAAAATTAAAAGAAACAAAACCATAGCTGAAGTCCTATAACAGAACATTAGCTAAAAGTTACAAAGTGCTAGCTAAAAACCAAACGTTGTTAAAGGTTTGCTAAAAGATAAAATGGAGAAAGATTGGCTAAAAGCTGACAGGCCTCATGTCAGAATGACTGGATTTTATCTCACAGACACAACCGGCGTGTTCTTTTGAGCATCACTGACTCTTAACTCTCCACAGACGGCTGGTTTGGAAGCATCCACTCAGCTGTGCAACCATTTTATGCAGTTTTTTATTAGTAAGGTTTTTATGCAGCTTTTTATTAATGAGGTTTTTATGCAGCTTTTTATTAATGAGGTTTTTATGCAGCTTTTTATTAATGAGGTTTTTATGCAGCTTTTTATTAATAAGGTTTTTATGCAGCTTTTTATTAATAAGGTTTTTATGCAG